TTTTTGTATTAATTACATATAGGAAATTAAAACCCAGATTAAATACTTTTTTTACTTTAAATTCTACCATTAATGCACTTATATATATCTCTCTATCTCTCTCTTCCTTTTCCAGCAACCTCTTCGCTCCGACCGCCAAACTTTCACCGGTCGGCGACTTTTTTCCGTTGCATTCCTCCAATCAGGCTCGCTCTGGCCATCTGCAAAAAAACCACTCCGTCAGTGCGCTAGTGGTACTCTATTAGTGGTAGTGGTACGCTACAAATACCACTGGTACTGCTACAAGTGAGTAGTGGTACGTAGCCACTATCGCTGGTACCAGATAGAAATCAGTACCACTACTAGAGAATAACATAAAAAACAAGATATGGAATCTGGAAAATCCTAGATCTGGAAAAATATTAAGGGATGAGGAAAGGAGAAGGAAGGGGTGAGGTCGTGACCTCTCGGCTGCAGCAGAGGAGGACAGCGGGAGAGAGATGGCAGTAACAGGAGTTGGAGGGAGGCGAGAGGGCTGCGACGGGGAGAGCGTTATGGCGCGACAGTGGTGGGAGGCGGAAGACGTGACGGCTGCGGTGGGAGGGATTGATGGTGGCGGCGGGAGGGAGAGACGAAGGCGGCGACGACGGCAACGGGAGGGAGAGACAGAGAGCGGTTAGGGTTCTCGAGAGAGGGAAGAGAGAGGGGAGAATGGGGAGAGAGGAAGAGCTTTTTTTTTAAAGGAAATCATATTATATAGAAAATGAGAAATGATCATGTGTGGTAAGTTTTTCTCTTCCAAAACATGATCTGCTGTACTTGGTCTGATATAGGAGTTTTCCAGTTCTGTCTTTTCTAGTGACTCTGCTTTTTCAAAGCTTGGTCTTTTTGTGACAGACAACCTGAATCAAAAGCAAGGTTAGAAAGCCCCGAGCATCCTGTTGGTGTTCTTTGAGAACTGGTGCATCTGTTGCCATCATCTCTTTCGTCCGTGCTGAGGCAATCTCCTCTCCTTCTTTGATGTATCTAGAGTGCCATAGTTGCTCCGCTGATCCCTGCCATTGTTCTCTTTCAAGTCCTTCGCTAGGCTTTCTCTTAGGTTTTTCTTTAGCTAGCTCATTAACAGCTTTTTGGATGAGTAGTCTTTGCTCTATCTCGTCAATACTGTCATTGTTCTTTCTTTTTCTGTATTCTGCCTCTTCTAGTTGCACCCTTGATGTTACTGCTTCTCGATCAAATTTAGCTCGTAAAGACTGCCAAAGTTCTCCTGATTCTTCTCTTTCCAAACGACTTTGTCAGGTTTTGGTTTTAGACAAGTTCACTCTCAGTTCTGGACCTACAACATCTTGTCCTTCAGGAGATGGGTTTGGACAATTTATTTTTGGATGCCCAACCAATCCATACGAATAGTAGTAATTGGGCAGTTTCTCATACTTCACTTCATAGGTCTGTAGGGTCCCTTTTAGGTTGAGCTTCATCTCCTTTTTAGCGGGGTTTTGATATCCTTCCCTACCCTTATTCTCAAAACATTGCTCCAGATGCATTCCTATCGACTACAACCCAAATAAGAGTGCCAAACTTTGCTCCTATTTTATGAATCATCTCATTGATACGTAGTGCCGGAGGGAGATTTTAGATTTGCATCCATATTTCCATCACATTATGATCTTCCGCCTTGGCCGTCTCAAACGCATCAGCTGGTTTTTATATGATCAGGTTGCTGTCACAATGCCAGGGGCCTCCAAAGAGGATTTTATCTCTATCACTCCTGTTCATGAACTGGAAACCATACAAGTGCTCATCTTTTTTGATATCTCAAAATATTATTGTAAATTCCATGCTTTTGACAGAGCTATCTCCATGGATTTCAGGTTCGGTTTCTTGGCCGCCACGACTCTTCCCGTCAACCCTAACAGGCTGATCACATGAACCAAAGCTGAGTCAATATCGTCGTACTCCACAACCAGCTCATCATCATCCACCAGCTTGATCTCTTCTATCAGTTTTTGAAGAAGCGTGGCAATAACTTCCGGGTTACCTTCATCTTGTTTCTTTCCCGGGGATGAGTCATCTTGTTCTTCCTTCTCATTGGTAGCTTTGTCCTTGTCCATCGTGATTGCACTGCTTAGATTTCAAGTCAAAACTGCGGGGAAAAATATCACTCCCTCACCCTAATCGCTTGAGGCAGGTTAGGGTTTCACAACCAAACGAGACCCCAAGAGCTACAATTAAAGCTCTCCTAAAACTCTCACTCAAGATCCTTGACTGCAGGAGGCAAGAGAAGGATCTAATATGATCCAAGAGATCTAAACTCATTTTTCAATTGCATTTCATTTTGAACCCAAGTCCACTAAAAAAAGCCCAGACACATATATAAGATGGGTAAATTCTCCTAGATAGAGGATCCTTTCTTCCCCTTTTGAAGTCTTTCTTTCTACGTTCAGATACACTATTACTTCGTATATCGTACTAATTTGGACGTCATAATGTAGGTCACGGGGAACACCCGCTCCCGCTTCTCACAAGTTCTTTCGCTCACAAAAAGATTAAATAGAGGATTTCAGATCGAACCCAAATCAATAGTGTTATCAACCAAGGTTAACTACATCCCGGGCTCTTAGACCTTTCCTGGATACTCATGGTGGCTTATAGGGCCTTACCCTGCACGGCCTGGTCAACATCCCTAACCTTTTGGGTCATCAGATCGACAACATCCTGGACTCGTCGTTTCGCATGCTCCATTTTTTATAGCATCCCAAGTCTCATCTCGCGAATGTGGTTCACTACCCCAGCACATGGAGATAAAATTTCAGTTTGTTCGTGATCGCGTCAACAAACAACAATTACGAGTGCTACCTTCCAACTCCTTATCAACCTGTTGAGGTCCTCACCAAATCATTGACTACCATTTCAGAAGTTTTGTTCCGGGTTTCCGCCTCATTCAACTACAGTTGCTAAGGCATGATAATCCGAGTTGATGTTTTCTGATACACAAACACCCTTCTCCATGCCCCTCTAACCTGATTCCCTCGGTGTCTATCATGCCCCTCTGGCATGTGCTCATGGCCATGTTAGTTCGACATCAGGGTATCTCTCACCCTTATCTCGCAGAACTACTAGCAGTTAGGGATGCCTTATCATTTGCAATATCACAAGATTGTCTTGAATTATCTTCGAAGGCTATGTCAAAGTTGTAATCCGTCAACTTAGTCAATGAATGCTGGTGGACTCGATTGGAGGACCTCTACTTCGGGAGTGTCGTCTTTTAGTTGAGTCGTTCCTTCATCATATAGTTTATAGGCCAGTTCCACGGACTACCAACTGATATGTTGTTTTCTGGAGAGAAAACCTGCGTTGAACAAAATCGGTTGCACATTTGACTTTAAACAGACGATTACTATGACACGGTTTAAACCTCTTCAAACACAGTTCGAACGAGAGTGTTTGATTTTATAGAATTTTTGGGAACAAATATACATTAAATTACCTCTACTCCTAAAGAGGATCAATGAGAGCGTCAATCTACGACTACGACTACTTGCATAGGAAAAGAATAAAGTTTGGCGTAGTAGTCAAATGTCTGGTTTTGGAACCTTCTCTCTGTGGACCCTTACTCCTAGGGGTCGTTTGCTTGTTGGATTTGGGTCATGGATTTGGTACCCAAATCCCAAACTTGATGGATTTAACATAAGTCCATTGTTTGTTGAAAGGTGCTAAATCCGTGGGGTCCACGGATTTGGTCTTTATTTTGGAACCAAATTCGTGGACCCCACGGACTTGTAAATCCCACATATTGATTTGGGATTTGCAAATCCTTGATGGTTAGTTATTTATTTAACAAATCCATCACAAATCCATCATCAAATCTATCATGCAAACATTAGACTCTTCAAATCCATAATCCAATAAATCCAACATAAATCCCAAGGATTTTGTTGGACAAAACCCTCATTTTTCAAATCCAACAAGCAAACGACCCCTTATTTATAGGCATGGAAAGATAACTGTTGTAGAAAACTGTCTCTTAGATAAATCCCAAAAAGAACCGCTCTCTGCTTCCTCGGAGTGGTGGTTACTCCTTCCGGACCTTCAACTGCCTTGGTGTTTCTCTTGGAACCGTCGTGGGTCTTGGAGTGTAGCTTGTCTCGGCTAGTCTTGTTCCAAATCTCGTGTCATGCTAGTCTTTTGATAAGCACGTGGTGTCTCACAAAGGGGGTTGTGGTCCTCTTGCCAGGCGGCCATGGACTTCTTACTTACGTCCATTGCCTTTTTGTCTCATGACCACCTCTTGGGACTTAGTCACTAGTGATATAATGCTCCACCACCACACCATTCTCATTCGTGTTCATGGCCCCCTCTCGTGAGGCGGCATGTCCTTCCCAAACTTAGTTGGTCATGAGGCGGCATGGCCTCTTCATTCGCGGCCGTGGCTAGGGCCTCTTGTCTTGCGTCCATGCCCATTCTCGTGAAGCGGCATGTGCTTCTATATTCTAGACGGGCATGGCCCTCTTCGTGAATCGGCACATCCTTCACATACTTAGTGTTTCTTATACAATATCGTGGCATGACATAGCCTCTTACGAGAGGTATGTCCCTTATTGAATGATGTCCATGTCAGTGTCACTATAACTTAGTGGCTTGGACAGTTGGACTTAAAATCAATATCCATAAGGACTAACTTAAATAATAGAATGACGCTTAAAATCTGGTTGTTGTATGCTTTAGAATTAAAAGCTTTCGATTGTTGGGTAACTTCACTTCACTTTAGTGAAATTCGGAGGATCTTAGGTAATGGTTGATGTCATTCCCAAAAAAACAAGCCACTTTCTCTACTATCCTCTCACTTGATGTTCCAAAACTTCTGCCCATGACATCGTTGCATCATCTTCTGCAAATGAGCAAACTAATTGCCGTATGTACTGTAAACAGAAATGCCGACGGCCAGCCATTGTAAAAAGTGTCGGAAATAGAGATGGGTTGGGAGGAGACAGACACATATATAGAGGAAGGAGAGGGACACGTGGGACGAGGTTATGGTTGATTCATTTCACGAATAATATGACGTCGACAATGGAGGTGTTTAGGAAAGAAAAACAAGCTGATTCTTATTATTGGAGAAATAGACAAAGGTTGCTTGCTGAAAAGCAGAACAGAACAACTCGAAAACAATCCAGCTGACGAAACCAAACCAGGATACTAAAACTGACCACCCGACCCGACTCGAAATCAGAAAATGATCAACCAACCATAGAGAACAATCATCGTACAACATAGAGGAAAGCGCAGCAAAGGAGCAAATATCAGTAGCAGAGAGCAGTTTGTTTTTCATTCGTCAATTTTAGAAACAAATATACCAAATGTAAAACATGCCCTTTCTGCTCTTCCTCTTCTCCTTAAGTTCATCAGTGTTCTTTTCAAAGGTCCAACAGAATGGTGGTCTCGGCGATCATGGATGTGACGACGTAGGGATCCATGTTGGAGGCCGGCCTTCTGTCCTCGAAGTAACCCTTTCCATCCTTCTCGGTGTCGCGACCAATACGAACGGAGGCTCCCCTGTTAGCCACACCCTGCAAATTCCCAGACATTGAACGCATTAATCACCATAAGCCAGCCCGGTAGAGCATTAAAACTTAAAAGTGATTCGGAAGAAGGAGAAGGTGAAAGGAGGGGCATTAAGACTTACCCAGGTGAATTTGTTGATGTTGGCGGTCTCATGGTGGCCTGTCAATCGTCTCTCGTTACCCTCGCCATAAGCAGCGATGTGCTCGCTGTGGCGGGCTTCCAACTTCTTGATCGCTGCCTTGATCACATCAATCCCACCGTCTTCCCTCATCGACTTGGTGCTGCATTTACACATTCCATGACAAAAACAACAGATCAGGCACAAAAAAGAAAAAACACAAGTATTTAGATTAGTTCCACGGTAGTTAGCTAGCGCACAAACCTGTAGTTAGTGTGAGCACCAGCACCGTTCCAGTCACCCTGGAAGAAGAAAAATTATAAGACATTCTCATCAGTTCACAACCTAATCGAGATGAACCAACATTGTGACTGACAGAGCTAAGAAAATGCAAGTGGTACGAGGACACATACAGGAATTGGTTTAGGGTCAAAGCTGACAACTACTCCAGCGACTTCAGTAATCCTCTGTTCATCAAAGGTGGGAGAAAACACAACTATTAATACAAATGACAAGGAAATCGTTACAAAGATACTCAAATAGCAAATAGATTACCTCGAGGATGTAACGAGCGACCCACACCTCATCACCAGCAGAAATGCCAACAGAAGGTCCAACCTGGAACTCCCACTGAGAAAGAAATGAAAACATTTGAGAAACCGATGATACATGAAACAGAGAAAGGCGTGCGTTCCAAGAAAGAGTGCGTACATACCTGCCCGGGCATGACCTCGCCGTTGATCCCACTGATGTTGATCCCGGCGTACAAGCAGGCCTTGTAGTGAGAGTCAACGATGTCCCTTCCGAATGCCTTGTCAGCTCCAATTCCACAGTAGTAAGGTCCCTATTACACGAAAAACAAGTCGAAAATTTAGAGTATGGACTTTCTTTAATAAGAAAGACACAAACTTTGTGAAACAGGATTTCTTGGGTGAGAAGCAATCAAGACCTGGGGTCCAGGGAACCCGCCGGCCGGCCAGCCAAGAGGCCAGTTGCTCCTGGTCAGAAGGGTGTACTCCTGCTCGATCCCGTACCTAACATTATGTCATAACCCACATTAATCAAATTGCAATACAAGTTGGTCAGAAGATGCTTTCACATGCAAAAGGAGTCATAATGACATAATTGAAGAATTTTTTCTATTTTTAAATAGCGAAGTAGTAGGTAGGTGATGAGAAATTCCACCTAGAAATTGTTAAGAATGAACATGTGGTAGGTGACGAGGCCAACTTGGAATGGCATATGATACTTATAAGTAAGTTACTAACCACTAATGGCCTTTAGAGAATAAAAGAATAAGGGTTGGAATCGAATAATAAGGGCAGAACAAGTACCATAGACATCACAATAATACAATCCAAATGGAAGAATAGAATTCAATACTGTGCCCCAAACGGCTTCTAGTTTCTATCCTTTTTAGATCAAAAGATGAAAGACATCGTACTATTCTATAGCAGCCACTATCACTAAAAGTTTAAAAATGAGACAAGGACCCAATGAAGCCAAAGTTGCCCAATTGATGAAGGGCATACCCTATATAAGTTCATGCATCTAATTGCTTTTCTCTCCAACAAGTACCAATTCCATCTCAATAACCAAATTCGTGATTTTACTAAAACCGTGAAAAAAACTTCCCAGGGACAAAAATCCATCCTTCCTTTAATATAAAGAAACGCCGAGGCAGGCAGAGCCAACCCCACCACTAGCATCAAATATAAGGCAAATACGGCACCGGATAGGACAATTCCATCCCTCCAACCCAAATCAGAAAGCGACCTAAACTTTTCTAATCATGGTCACTAATTTGTTTCCTTGTGGACAGCAAAGCAATGATAATGCCACCGAGACTTTCTATGGGCTTATCAGCCTAATCTAATCGTACAAGACACCACCGAACGGCCCACCCCAATCAATATCATTCAATAGCCCACTGGGCCCTACCTTCAAAGACACTGCACTGCCCCTATCACGCTTACCAATCAATCACAAACTCCAATGCTTTCCATAAATAAAAAAATTTGGCAAATGGGGCCATATAATTCATCGCATAATGAGGACGATTTTGTTATTGTTTTCATAGGCTACTAGTGAGATCATTGCTCAACAGGCAACCAGAATCGTTGGATCAAAGCGGTGACAACATTGATTCAACGATTGCGGAGTGTCCGAGTCCGATCTAATCGGGTTGTAGTGAAGGGTAAAATGGAGAAAATTGATTACCATGGGACCTCGGCTTCAACGTCGGGGTGGCTGAAGATCTTGGCAGCAGCGGCCCTCTTGTTTGTTGGGATTGGCTCGCCGGCCGGGGTATAAGTATCGCACATGACCTATAATTAATAACAACAAAATTATGTATTGGTTATAGTTCATTTAATTAATCAAGTAATTGGGTTGCGTAATTATCTTGAAACTTAAAAAGAGTAAATCACGGGGAAAGTATGAAGTTGTGAGAGAATCGTGAGTTACCAGGATGTTGTTTCCCTTTCTGAAGGGATCCTTGAAGATCGCTTGTGGACTAAAGTCAAACCCAATCAACCAAACAAAAAAAAATCCCCAAATTAAAATTCCAGAAAAGATTAAAAAAAAACGGAGTTTACAGAGAGGGCGGAGGAAGCAGAACGTACTAGAGGATGACTTCGCTGTCATCGCCGGGAGCTTGGTTGGTGGAGCTGCCGTCGTAGTTCCACTTTGGTAGCTCAGACGGTTTGGTCACTGGCTTGGGCAGAGTCTGTGAACCGAAACCAGTGAAATCAGAAACGGAACCAACGCCGTTACGAATCTCCCCGTAGCTAGAAAAAAAAAATTCAACTCACCCTGGCTTTGCTCCTCAGGTCCATACCAGATCCACCAACCCTGGGGAAAAAGAACGACGACGGATCAATCAGATGGTGGTTTATTCAGCTGGACGATGGCGATCGTCGAAAGAGAGAGGGAGATTGAAAAAAAAAAAAAATCTTGAATGAGGAGAGTCTAGAACGAACCAGATGTACTCGGCGATGATCTTCTCGGTGGTATCGGAGAGATTGAGGTTGACGAGATCGTTGAGGGAAGCCATGGCTGACCGGAGAACTGGAGGGAAGACCGGAGAGTGAGAGAAGACGAAGTAAAGGAAGAGAAGAAGAGTTGGTGTGGAAAAGAAACTCAGTTGGTTCGGTTGTTTAAATAGAGGGGAGGTGACGGGGTCAAAATTAACCTAGATTTCTGTTTTTTTTCCCCTACCACCGTAATTAGGGGAATAGTAAAATCTAAAAAAAGAGAAAAGAAAAATGGGGAAATGGAAAATTGTTCGTTGCACGTCTTGATTTCTCGTATATTAATATCATTGTTATTATGATATTCTAATCGGAATCCACTTAGTGATACTTTTTTCTGCCGTTATCTCGTTTTCAAAGCTTAATGCGAAAAGTAAACTGCATATGGGAGAGATTTTAAGAAAGAAAAAAAGGAATCTTTTCTGATTCTTAAAAATTGCCTTTTTCTATTTTGTTGTCATTTATTAAGATTCACAATCTTCCTCCATTTATTGCACAAGATTCCATGAATTAGCTACTTAACATATATAAACCCATAGAAATTTTTCAATGCTTTAGAATATTGGAATTTTTCCGTTCGAGAATATTGGTATTTTTATTTTTATTTTTGGTACAACTGTACAATTTTAGTTTATATTATTATAAAGAGATTTATACAAAAGTATATATGTACGACCTCAGGTTATACCATAATGTTAAATGTATAACTTCAGGTTGTACCATAACATAAATACTCAACTTCCCTTATGATACAACTATTTGTTCATTTAACGTTATCATACAATTTCAAATTATACTTTAAATCCTAGTGCAGAATTGGTTTAAACAATAATAATTATCATCTTTGTATGTATGTACATGAAAAAATATGTTATTTATGGGGATATATATGTAGTATAGTAGGGTAGACTTTACCTTTTCCGTGATCAATCAATTCGTATGCTATATGATTCAGATGATAATGCACATAAACTTGATCTAAAAAAAAAAATCAAACATTTCATATTTCTTTATATATTTTCGTTAATATTCATAAATGTGTTCATGCGAAATTAGTCTAATTCCTACCTAGTCCCTACAACAAGTAATAAAAAATTATATTTGTGGAGTGAGTTATACTAAACAACATATAGAATCAAAAGAGTCATATAGCCGTGTGAATCAATGTATATTCGTAGGAAATCATTACGAGTGGTGTTCTATTATTTTGGGTGATCAATATATTTTCATAATATAAGAACATCTTTTGATAAGTTCTGTGGTGACTTCCTTAAATGAATCCTAGCTTTGGTCGTGTATTGAAAAGTACATGTGTCATCTGTGTTTTATTTGTTTACATTAAAAGATTTATATAATAAATGAACTTTTAATTTAGATGCTGTTGGGTGGTTTTAGTTTGTTGTGTTATTATTTAGTCAATGAAAAAGAAATTTCCGATCCTCGAATTGCAAAATCCTTACTTCACAGTTCACCCTTGTTACAAACCCATTGTTAATTCAGCTTATGCGGGATAATCCAATAGCTATACATGATCAATAGAGCCCTACAAAAATTCCAATTATTAATAAAAATCGATTATTGTTTTGTTGATGGTTACTAGGTTGTATATATGTGAAATAGAAAAGAATTCTTTGAAGAGGGAGGATTTGACAATGTCTTATAAACTTTAACCACAAATATTTTTAAAAAAGTATGTTTTACTGTTTATGTAAAAAAAATAAACGAAGAAAGCAGCGCTAGTTGTTGGATTGATTCACCGTGATTACAAACCCATTTGTTAATTGGGTAATGCTTGCCGGATAATGCAAGCCCTACCAAAATTCCACTCGTTAAAAAATGGTTAATTTACTGTCTTGTTGATGGTTACTATATTTTATTTTACGAATTTTTTGCTATGTGAAATAGAAAAGAATTCTTTGACGAGGGAGGATTTGACAATGTCTTCTAAACTTTAACGAAATTTTAAAAAACAGAAATCTGTTTTATTGTATACGTCGAAAAGGAATCGTCCAACGCAAAGGAAAAAGCCGCACTCGAGGCTCTGCATATACAGTGTGTTTTTATCCGTTCTCACAGTCACTCACAGCAATAAAATTGTATTATTGAAGAATCGAATTATTAACTGTTTGTGGAAAAATGCCATACATTTCCCAGCTGGAAAAAGAGAACAAAACTTAGGAAATGAAGATGAAGCTTTTTGTCCGCCTGAGGCCCCAACCAATGGAATGGAATGGAATGGCTTCCTTTCCTGCAATTGCTGACGGATTCCACGAAGCCTTTCTTTTCTTCTTTTCTGAAAAATACACACTGTACACCAAAGTTGGGAATGCGTTCCCACATGATTTCCACAAACCAGAATGTCAAGCTCTCCAGTTTTCCCTGCTTTAGAAAATAACACATATATAAAAAGATTCCTTTAACATTCAAACATTGAATCGGAAAGCTCAATTCGTTATCCCATGGTGAGTGTTAATTGTTTTCTACATAAGTATAAATGAGTTGGTTCAAATAACTCCGAATTAATAAGAGAATCCCATGTATGAATTTTAATAACTTTGTTACGTGTCTTTTATGAAAACTATCTCATTGGTTTGAAGTTTGAAGAGGCTCGTCATACCATGTGTTTTAAGACTACGGTTAATAATGGGTCGTGTGGACTTTAATGCGTGACGTCAAGGGCTAATGAACTCTTATACAATGTCATAAATCGTTTGGTCTCCAAACTCAATAACTCGAGTTATTGGAAAGTGTTCATATATGGATCTTAACCACTTTCTTGCATGTATATTTATTACACGAAAGCGGTTGAGTTCGAATTGAGATTCTTTACGTGACCTCTGTAAATGTCAGGCTATGTAGAAGTAGGGTTAGGGTCGTCCAATGAACCATTAAGGTTTTGTTCTAGACGACTTGAGATGTGGTCCAATTTTTTAAAGTATGGTGGTAAAATAAGAATGGTCCTAGCATCATTATTTTGACAATAATTTAATATAAAAGTTATCTATTAACTCTTCAACTTTTGTTTATTGCTAGAAATCATATTCAATTATCATCATCGTTAACTCATTGAGAATTTTTTGTGTCACTTTATAGAAAAATAGGACTTTGATAACATATAAGACTTTAACGATGAATATGCATATGTCGTTTGTATATACAAAAGAATATTGATCAATGACTACCAATATTATTAATTAACAGATTTAAATGCATCATCATGACAATAATCAAACAAACGTACAACATAAATTCATCATACATAAATATATAGTATATGAGTGGATCAAACTAACAGACCTATGACGAAGTCTCCCTATTATTCGGAGGGTCTCCCGGCACACGCACCCCTTGACCTGCCATGAGCATAGTGTTCTCTCATTTTCATCACGATGCTCAAATCATTTTCTAACATACGATTAAGTGTAGATAAAACGTACATAAAATTATTATAAAATAATAAGTTTAGTAGCGCTATCTTTTGATCAATAGTAACAAGTTTTCCCCCGATGGTTTACAGTTCTTTTCCCCCAAAGTCATTTGAGGGTTTGACTTGACTTTAAAAATAGAAATTATCAGTCTTGTCCCCTCAAGTTTTCCAAACTAGCGAATAGACGTCGAGGTAGGAGTAGGACTCTGAGCCGATTTGAATAGCCATTTTTTGTCTAATATGATACAGAAAGTCTTGAACCCTACATCTTGGCCAAACAACAAAATATGGAAATCCGACTAGTTAATTTGCGTGGTCCTCACCCTTCGCCCTTACTAAATTACTAATGGCTCTTGCCTCTTGGAGGAGAATTGACAGGGGGGCAAGTTTATTGTTTAGAAAAATCTTAGTATGATATTTTTTGCAGTTCAACTTGTAAAACTATAGGCTGTTCCGGATCAGGTGAGGAAGTCCTTAGACTATTATTTTTTTAGTCTAATCTGACCCTTTGGATGTGTGTATGATCCGTAAATCAACAAGGAACAATTCAATATTATACGAAAGAGCATTGGAATAATTATTTTACATGAATTCTACATCAAACAAAGCACGAGAAATCCGTTAGTCACGAGGAGCAATTCAATATTGATTGACAAGATGTATTTTGAATGAAATTGAAGAGTTTATATAAGGATTGTTTAGTTAAATGTGTTTAAGATAGAGTAATTTATAGATGAGTAATTTCTTTAAAAGTCACCATGATGCATCATAAAACAAAAGCGTAGGCTCAAAGCAAACAATATTTCGTTGAGATATAATTGGATGTTACTGTCGGTCTTCGTCTTCTTCACCAAATTTAAGTCATGAATGTGCATAACTCATAAATGGGCATAAAATTAACAATGCATTTGAATCAATCAGATAGCACATACAATGTCCTGCTCCACACACTATAGAACATTATGCAAATGACTAGAAATGACTATTCGTAGCTGTTAAGCACAGCCTCTGCAGTCAAAATCGCGCATTAAAACGTAAAAACTTACGATTTTACGTATCCAGACCACCAAAACGTTTCAGTTTCTACCTAAAGTCGCTTAGTCACAAAAACTGGTAAAAACATGGGTAAAATTGGTAAAATCGCTTAAAATCGGTAAAATCGCGATTCTGAAGCGTTTTTATACGATTTTGTTCATCTCATAAAAATGTGCTAATTGGCCCAAAATGATGTAATTTTGGAGACATATCAACATAAAATAAAAAAAGGAAAACATGATTCATCACTCGTTCTACAACTAATGTCGAGATAGGGGCTTCACATTAGGTTGAAAAGACACCTAATGGTATTCTCAACAGCCACTGACCTTCCACTAGTCTTCTCCCTTAATATTCACATGTGGCTCTTACCTGGGTTCCGATAAAAGTTTATGGGTAATTGATCGTATTTAATTATGTAAAATCAAACCAGCTTATGAGAATTTGGATTCTCAAACTCGTTTACGGGTACGATCTACGTTTATGAGCTTATTATTAAGATGTTATGAGTTTTCTCTACTTTTGAGTCAACACAAATTAGTTTATGTGTTAGATATTACCTTTTAATTATGAATTTCATGTAGTTATTCACTTATCTAAAATCTACACACTCACATTTTACATACTATGTTGTACTTAACATATTTTAGCTATTTTAGAGGGCGCGTAAAAAACTTACGCTTTTACGCTTTAATTCTACGTTTTACAATTTTACCCATTTTCCGCTTTTAGGTAGAATCG